CAGTCCCTCTATCAGTCACCACAGCCAGTCCCTCTATCAGTCACCACAGCCAGTCCCTCTATCAGTCACCACAGTCAGTCTGTCCCTCTGTCAGTGACCACAGTCAGTCTGTCCCTCTGTCAGTGACCACAGTCAGTCTGTTCCTCTGTCAGTGACCACATCCAGTCTGTCCCTCTGTCAGTGACCACAGTCAGTCTGTTCCTCTGTCAGTGACCACATCCAGTCTGTCCCTCTGTCAGTGACCAGTCAGTTGTCCCACTGTCAGTGACCGCTGTCAGTCTGTCAGTTACCAGTCAGTCATCCCCCTGTCAGTCACCACAATCAGTCCCTCTCTTAGTCTCTCTGTTAGTCACCTGTCAGTCTGCCCTATTGCAGACTCTCTGTCACCCTAGAGAGGAACACAAAGCTGTCTGTCCGTCATTTTGTCCTCTTCTGTCTGCATGTCTCTCTTTCTGCCTATTTGTCTTCAAGTCGAAGTTCTCTGTGCCCTATAGGCCATCACTGCAGTGGCACATAGGCCAGGTGTGTCCAGGCGATTCTGCCTGTCTTCTTAAAGCTTTGTTGTGTTTTTAAGTACCTAGATGCAGGCTATGAATCACTATGAGAATGGCACTGTAGCTATGAATCAGACCTGAAATGTAGGAGAATAACTGCACTCCCCCAAACACACACATGGCGGGCTGTCAGTGCATACAGGGTGGGCTACCCTAGCTCCACACAGACTTAAGTATGGGGGGGATGAGAGGCTGCCCTCCTACGCCTTCCTCTGGAAGCTCTGAGTCACAGCATAGCTGAGCGGCACAGGAATCTGCTTCAGACTGTTGAAGCTGAGCCGGGACTGCAACCCAGTCACACACACTCTGTGTTTGACATGCTGAAAGTGACTTGGCCTAATGAGAGAGGGTGAGGGTTAGGCTTTCTGTGGAGGGGGGTGCATCTACTGGGAATCCTCACCTTGGGTCAGCTGCGTGGGCTTCATCACAGGGATGCCATCGAGGGCACAAGGGTTTCCACAGGGGTCCAAGGTGATGAGCCCCCCCTTGTTCTTGATCAGACAGTGCTCGGCCTCGATCCCGGGACCCTCGATGGTGATGTCCTGGGGAATGGGAGCGTCCTCGCGTCCAATCCGAGTCACTCCTGGAATACAGAGCTACAGTTTCGGCCAAAGACTCTGTCTGTCTGTCTGAATCTGTATCTGTCTGTCTGTGTATCTGTGTGTCTGTCTATTTGTCTGTCTGTCCCTATCTATATGTTTGGGATAGCAGGTTTCTGTCACCTTCTTTGAGTGGCAACAGGGTGATGGCTACGCTCAGACGGCCACTGCCCAGGCTGACTAAGTGCGGCGTAGCCGTCTGCACCTTCAACGCCTTTCCCGTGTCGATCAGGTCAAGGGGCGGGCTCTGCATGAAGGGTCAGAGGCGGACACAGCCAAGTGAGTGACAACGGCAGTGATATCAGGGCTCCGGTGGTGTTTGGGCTCCTGGCTCACCTTGCCTGAGGGGGTGATATGCTGATCCACCTCCAGGTGTGAGGAGCTGCCGGGCAGGCTGGTGGACTCCGTGCCCTGTGGGGGTTTGGTTTGGCAGCACTCAGCATCCAGACACAGCCAACAAAGCAACCAACTGAAGCTTATTTTCATGGGGGCGTCGCAGACCTCAAAATGTAGACAAGCATCGGGGGGGGGGGGGGGTGTGCTTGCAGGCAGGCAGGCAGGCAGGCAGGTGAGCGGAAAACCGCAAGATGAGGCGTCACCTACAAGCCCATTACTGCTCTTTATCCCTGATCTATCAGCTATTCCGCCAGGCAGGAATGAGGTTTGGCATGCAGGTGAGGCTGATATCTATCCCAGGGAGGGGGAGAGGCATGTCATCACCATGGTGACAGGGTTACCCACCTCTGTGCCTATGAGATCTTACTCTTAGTGAAAATAAGAACTTTTTGTGATTTTTTTTCTATGCAAATTTGGCTGAATTTGGGTAGTTGGTTATAAAATTAGCTTAATTAAGCCACCTTAAGAAAAAGATCCTGTAATTCAGGCCTTGACCCCCCCATGAGTTGGCTGGGTGCGTTAGGCCTAGGTGGACCCTGGCAGTGGGACGCTAAGCCACTGTGATTACAGAGTGCTCTGGATGGGGGCATGCGGCTATGCTGGATGGAGCTATGGGGCTGCCCCCCCAATTGCGGCCCCCTCCCCACACCAAAGGCTCACAGCCCCACCCTCCCCACTGCTTTATGATGCCTTTCGTTTAGATTCGTTATGTAACAGGTGCCCTCATCACCACAAACAGGAGTTAAATTTCTTCACTCCGCAAATGTGTCACAGTCATAATGGGCTGAATTTGATTCGTCTGGGGGGTCAATGGGGCAGCCCTGATTGGCCGGCTCCCAGGCATTGTTTCTGCCCCGGAGCCTTGCATTCCACAATATTCCCCATTGTCATGTGCCTCCCTCAGCATAGTGAAGCCGGCCCCCTGCACTTAGCGCTCCGGGTGGGGTGGCCTGGCCTCTCTGCATGTCCGGCTGCATGCAGCTGGCCCTGAGAGAGTAACAGACCAATTGAGAAATATCTGCATTGTGTCTGCATTTTTGGAAGCCTTTTTTTAAAAGAATTATTATGTTTCATTACAAATGAACTGCAAGAGACAGAAAGAAGACCTAGGGGGCGCTGTGTCAGGTCGCAGGTACTGAATGTTTGTCAGGCCCTGCGGCCTGGACAGTCTGGCTAGAGGGTAGTAATAACCCTACTGTTTCCAGCCCTCTCCCTCAAACTGCTGCCCTTTTATCCACGTATATGTTTTTATAAATGGCTTTTCAGATATGTAACACAGCAGCCAGGCGACTGAATCCACCACAAAAGAACCTCGACTATGGAACTTGTTGTACACACCAGTGCCAGTGCTGAACTGTTAGCTAGCAGTTGCACCCAAAGTTTTTCTGTGCAGTTACTCAACTTCTGTTTCCTGTTAAGTAGAGCAAATGGAGTCGCTGGCAGTTTCAGACAAAATACCCAGCATCCTTTCCATTGTCATGCCAACCACTTTTTTTTCCTTGTCATGGCACCAAGGTTTCATGGGACAGCTGTAAGATGAGTGTCTCTCGTGATGTAAACATCACAATGTTACATTTTTTTAGGAGCTTGCCCAGGTCAGTCAGGCTGACACTGAGATCACAACAAAAAAGAACTACAGTACTTCGCAAACCATCAGCACAAACTAGAACAGAGTGACTTCAGAGGGTGTGTTCAGGAGAACAAATGGATTAATTCTCTGCGTCTTTGGATATACAGAAAATAGGAGATTAACAGCAGCACCTCATTGTTGTTTTGGGTGGAGTTTCCTCTTTAAAGCCTGCAATCCCAAAGCCAAGTCCTCCTTGCATCTCCTCCTAGCGCTTCAGCTTGTTAAGACTGGTTTAAAGCGGGTGACAGTGCTAACTAGCTAATCCTAACCTTAGAATAACCTGGGGCCTGTATCATGGAGCCAGATTTCTTGTTTAGCTGGATAACTTGTCTTGTTTAAGGTACTCTGGGCTATAAGTAAGTGAAGGAAGATAAATTCCATTTAAACAGAGGTACTTAAAATCCGGCTACGCAACAAATCTGGCTTCATGACACAGGCTCCAGGTAACCCTAAGCCTAAACCTAAGCCAAACCCTAAACTAACCGCATAATCCAAACCCAGACTGAAGTGATTCTGGTCATCCTAACAATGGGAATGCAAAAAATAAAATAAAAAGTAAAAAAAAAAAATCACATCTGCATGATTTCAAGTGTGTTAAATTTGGAGACCCCTAGATCTCTCAACAATATCCAGCTACTGTATTTCTTCTTTCAGAACAGTTGATTTGAGTAATCAACAGCTTAATGAGCAGATAATTAGCTGAATGGATGTGGGTCATCATGAGATGTTTGGGAATCCGGGCTGTGGAAGACCATGTTTTGACACCAACAGGCTGTTGTGGATAGAGGGGGGGTGGGGCCTCATTCCATAGGCGGCAAAAGAAATACAGCTCTGGCCCAACAATCAAGTGCAAGTTTCCATGGCAACCTCATGGTCAGAGGTCAGGTGAAATCTGTGACATAAATCACCATACAGGACATACAGTGCAACCCAACATGTAGCTGACATGATGCCCCCCAAACATGCAGCAGACGTGATGTCCCTCAAACATGCAGCAAATGCGATGTCCCCAAACATGCAGCAGACGCAATGCCCCCCAAACATGCAGCTGACATTATGCCCCCCAAACATGCAGCAGACGTGATGCCCCCCAAACATGAAGCTGACATGATGCCCCCCAAACATGCAGCAGAC